TAGTTTGTCTCTTCAGATTTAGTTAGCTTCTGGCAATTTGGCTGCGTCGTAGGTCGAAAGGTGATTCCTTGAAGCCGCCGAGAGATCTGCTGATGATGGACGTTATAGGCTGCTGCAGCGCGTCGAATGCTCTTAAACTGGCCTGTACGATAGGCCTGAACTGCTAGAGTAAGCCTACCCTCTTGCTGAGTAAATATCACGTTCTGTTGTTGAGGCATTGTCTTTCGTACGTGAAGTTCGCGATGCCAAGAAAAAGTGGCACTCTCGGTGGGGTGGCACTCTCGGTGGTGGAATACGTTAAGCTTTAAAGCTTACTAGTATATATAGCTCATATAGCGCTTTATTAGAATATGAATATAAATAAAACAAAGCTATAATCTACAATTTCTTGGCTTACTATAATAAGAGAAAAGTATAAAAATAGCTCAAGAAAAAGTAAATAAGTATTACTAAAGTATAGTTAGAAATCTTTGGTATTTTTGTTATGGGCGAGAGAGGCCTAACTAACGAGTATGCATTCACCTATTGTACAGAAGAAGAAAGATACAGAAAAGAACTATCTAGAGGGCCCTCCTTTTATAGTTGTTACTCGTACGAACGCTCAGACCTTTAGTCTTCCTCCTTACTTAAGCTTGTTCGTACGTAACTAACCACGTCATTTAGTCACGTGACTAAAGTCATGTAATTCACTGCTATGTGACCTGTAGGTCATGCCTCTCTGGCGTAGCCCTTTACAATTTTAGTATTAAATATAGTAACTTATAGTATATTAAAGTTAAGTAACTATATACTTATAATTAACTAATTATATAGCTAACAAAGTAGTAAAAGTTACGTATGATTTATAGTTTTTAAAGCTTTAGCTTTAACTATTAGTTTTTTACTAGTGTTTTTATAAAAACCTTATAATATATTGAAAATAATACTAAAAAAAAATAGCTATTAGCTAGTAAAACGAAAGCAATAGTTAAAACTTTGTAAAGTAGTAAATTAGTATAGTAGCTTATCATATAATTATAAGTAAAGTTTACTATAAGTAGCTATATTAAGTTAAAATACTATAGTAAGCTAGTAACTAAGTGTAGCTTAGTACTATATAATAAATCAAAGCTTATTAGCGTAGCTACTTTACTAATAATAAGTAATTAGTAATGCTAGGATTTTTTACTAGCGGCTAGGAACCTTACCCCCTATTTCTAAGCACAGTTCTAGGTAGAAACTTGTCTCGGCAACGGCTTCGCAGTGCAACGCCTATTGCTTATCTTCTTTTTTTTTCCTCCGAATCTGAGATTTTAATCGCCCGGACGACCATGGCGCCTACATGGATATATAGATATATACGGAAAGAAAAAAAACGAACAAGCTATCTGTACCACAAAATCCCACACACACACGCACAACCAGCCAGAAAAAGTAGCCTCACCCCCTCCACCCAAAGAAACGATAGAAACCGAACAGTCCCCATTCATATCTACATGGACGATTCTAACGCAGCGAAAAACCGTCGAACACTACCTCCTCCAGATGAAACCCCCCCCCCCCTCAAAATGCAAACTTCCTCCCAACTCCATCTCCACCACCACTACCAAATCACGCATAATAACTGCGTCCAAACAGCGCAACACTCCTGCTCATCCTCCACGCGCCCCAAAGCACCATCCCCAGAATCGCGAGATTCGCAAGCTGTCTACACACAACAAGTAGCAGCGTCGTCGCATCAACAGCCGTGGCCGACCAGCCCGCCGTATCCACATACAGCAGCACAACGTCGTACAGGATGAATATATCGCGCAGCCAGATGAGCGGGACGACGGCAAAGGCGAAGCGGAGGAGATCTTTCCGCTCTGGAGACTTTTTTTTCCCCGGAGACGTTAGTTACAAGGGACGAAGGAAGGAATAGGAGATAGGAAGGAAGGGAAGGGAAGGGGGAACTTACGTCCCGCGCATTCCTATTCGTAGTTGCATACTCCCTCAGTACTTCAATCGACACGCTCAAGCTCGCTGCAACGACAATCGCCTCGTGGACGATATACATGATGCGCGTTGCGCGATGGTGCTGCAGGACGGTTGACCAGGAGAGCAGGGCGTGCGGGCCCGAACTTCCTGTTGAGACATCTCTGGCATGGATACCTAGCCCCCAGGCCGCGAGACCGGTGCCTAGCATAGCGAGCATGATGGCCGAGTTCCAGATACGGGATTTAGTTCGCGGGGTGCTGATGCCGGTGCCGTTTTCCTGTACGTGGCTTGAGTGGATCCATACGCCGCCGTTGAGGAGTACGGTGAAGAAGATGGTGGCGAGGGCTGTGGTAAAGGTTAGGGCTGAGATGTTGGAGGCATACCCGCTATCGGCGGTGCTGTAGGCGCGGCGTCCGTTCCAGCCTAGGTCGTCGTCATAGTTGATTGTGCCGGCGGTCTTGAGGAGGTCGGATACCAAGCGACATACGTAGGCAATGAAGAGGCAAAGAAGGGCGGGCCAGAGGAAGAGATAGGTTCCCAGAGTCGTTTTGAGCGGCCCGTCGCGCGCACTGTTGTTTTTGCTGTTTGGCGCTGTGAAACGTCGCTGCTTGATGCGCTGGAAAGTGGGCTTTGATGCGAGGCCCAGGAAGATTAAGGCACCGGCTGCTGTGATGACATCGAGGGCAAATACTGCTTGATATGAGGCTCGTTCATGGGTTATGTCAAGTCGAGACATTGCACGTTTTTGTGAGACGAAATGTAAGTTGGATTGGTAGCGTGTGCTCAAAGCAAATCAGCAGAACAACTCCCTTTCAACCAAGCACAAAATCCTCACTTTTGCATTCTCATCCGAGCATCCGTCAGCCTATGACGTTGATTACCCGTCATTTCTTAGCGGCGGCAAAACGCTGCCGTTATGCGGATCCATAAATCGCACATGCTGGTGCCGAATCAGAGTACACAGGACCGGAAAAAACGGAAGGAAGCTCAGTTGCGATTTGAAACTTCTTCCTTCTCTGGTGAGCCAGTCAATGACATCGGTGCGATGAGATTGATGGATTTTGGATTGAAACAAGGAGGCATCGTGGCAATGTCGATCCGCAGGGACGGCAGGTTAGGTATCATGCACATGTGCATGGGTGGAACGTGGAGATTAGAGTGCGGGAAGAGCGCGGACGCTAAAACGATCGCCCAGCCACCTGAGGCTGGAGCTTTGTGGCGTTCACATTAGCCCTATTTTTAGTTGGAAAACCAGCATGTACAGAAACTTTCGCATGGATTGCTTGCTACTAGTTGTATATTAATTCATTCATTTTCGTGTGCCTCGTCATTGCACTCAACTGGCGACGGCTCGTTTTTCAGTGCCTCTACGAACTCTGTTGCCATGGCAAGCTTTTTATGCACGGGACATGTTCTCGCCTTCCTCAGCCTTCTGGAGACCATACTTCTTCAGACTGCTATGTGTCAGTGATGAATGCGAATATGGAGAAGAAAACGTACCGAATGCTCTGGATGGCAATGAAGCCAGTAGTGTCCATTGGGCTGAAGTTGTCCAGGGTGTCCATGGATGCCTCTTCCTCGGAGTAAAGCTTCTCTGTCTTGCTGGAACGACCGAGCACGTACGCGTTGCCCTTGTACAGCTTCATCCTGACCTCGCCGTTGACCCTGCGCTGGGAGAAGAGCAAGCTGTTCTCGATGAACTCACGCTCAGGCGAGAAGTACATGCCGTTGTACAGCTGGTAGCTCCAGTTGTGGGTGACAAACTGGTCGCGAAGGTTACGGACCTGTGCATCCATGACAAGACCCTCGAGGTCCAGATGGGCGAGGCGGAGGATGGTCATGGCTGGCGAGTCGTAGCAGCCACGCGACTTGAGACCGATGAATCGGTTTTCGACAATGTCGATGCGGCCAATACCGTGGGTAAAGCCGAGCTTGTTGAGCGCAACAAAGAGCTCGACAGAGTCGGTGTAGGTCTTGTCGGGAGTCGCGACCTTGACGGGGATACCCTTCTCGAAATAGACGGTAATGTCAGTGGGCTCGTTGGGCGCATTGAGAGGCGAGTCGGTCATGGTCCACATGTCGTCTGGGGGAGAGACGTCTGGGTCCTCGAGGATACCTGAAGATGTTAGCCAAAGCCAAGCAACATATCGACCCAGTCCTACCAGCTTCATAACTGCAGTGTGCAAGGTTGGCGTCCATGCTCCATGGCTTCGCCTTGGTAGAGGTAACGGGAATGCCATGCTTCTCAGCATAGTCGAGCAGGTCCTGCCTGCCCTTGAAGCGATCGCAAAACTCGGGCATCCTCCATGGCGCAATGACCTTGATCGAGGGCTGAAGTGTGTAGAAAGCGAGCTCGAAGCGAACCTGGTCGTTTCCCTTGCCTGTGCAGCCGTGGGAGACGAAGCCACAGCCTTCTTGTTGTGCAACGCGGATCTGAGCGCGGGCAATGACTGGGCGGGCCAGTGAAGTTCCGAGGAGGTAGCGGCCCTCGTACGAAGCATTGCACTGAACCGCACGGAAGCAAAGCTCCTCGACAAACTCCTTCTGCAGGTCAAGAATGACCATCTTCAGAGCACCGATCTTGAGCGCCTTCTTCTCCACCTCGTCCCATGGCTCGTCCTGGCCAACGTTGGCGAGGAAGCACACGACCTCATATCCTTCCTCTTGACCAGTCTGTTAGCCACATGAAGCGATCGGGTGCGATTCTGGCATACCAATGAGCCACTTGAGGATGGTGGAGGTGTCGAGGCCGCCTAGTAACCCAGGTCAGTACAAACGTGGTAGAGAAAAGCAAGAGCGGGGGAAGCCATTGGGCTTGGTTTTGGGGTGTGCTGCATTGGGAACATACCAGAGTATGCTAGGCAAACGCGTCCCTTTGACATTGTGACTGTGTATGTGTGGTGTGTTCAAGTGTGATGGAGGAGTCAATGGCGACGTCTGGAGAAGTGCGGAGTCATTTGCTATCTTATCGGCGATAAAAAAAGTTCGGTGCTCCGCATCCCATCCCTGCAAGGTGGCCGACCATCGGTCGACTAAGCGCTAGGCCTGCCATAGGCGCACACGCGAGCCAACCCCATTCATGCACAGCGGCGAATCGTCAATGGGACCGGCTAGGGTAAATCAAGTGGTATTCAAAGTGCTATGCAAAGTGGTATATCTAACATGGCAGCCAGAGTACTTTTCCCGGCGCCGTTGATGCAATGCTCTGAGTATGCAAGTGCGCCGCGAGCCAGATTCTCAACAGGATAGCAACAACGGACAAGCGCTGACGAACAGAGCAAAGAAAAGACGCACATGAATTTTCTTAGCGCTCACGACCATACCGGTGCGCGAGGGACCAACGGCGTCGTGCTAAAAGGCCCCACCAGCAACCCTCTCCCGCTCATAAAACACAATGTAAGCTTTCTCGTTCTGCAATCGACTGTGTGCCGGAAGGTTGCCCGGGTCGAAATCTTGGATCTTGTCATCGTTGAAAGACCGCCAACATCCCCGCGATTTGTCCTTGACAAATGCAATGTAGTGGCCGCTTCCAAGCGTAGCGCCAATATGCCAAATGACGGCATACGCGTTGTAGACATACGGTCCGTTCATGGTAGGGTCAGACTTGACACCTGCCAGCTGCGCAGGTCCATCCCGCGCCATCTGTGAAACGTAGGCCTCTTGTTCTTGTGTCATGGGTGGCTCGACGAATGGACCGATATCCAGCCTCTGTAGTGGAAAGTGGACGGGCGTGCGGACTTTGCGCGCAGTCTCAGTACGGGACGCGCTGAATCGCTTGAAGTGGATCACCAGTGTGTCTGGTGCCCGGGTGATTGTGATCTTCTTGACTGCCTCGCGATCCTTTTTGCACCGTGGGCAACGCCATAGCTCGTCTCCCGCTAGGCGCTCCGGTGCGCAGTACGATTCTAGGCATTGGCGGAGGTCGCATTGGCCTTCGCGGGGTATCTCGACGCTGATGCTCCAAAACGCCTCATACGTTGTGCTTGTGACGCCGCATGTTTGACATGTGAGCTGCGAGGCGTGCTGCCCAGCAAACAAACCGCCAATAACCGACATGTCGCGATGCTGGTATCGCCGCCACTCAATCATGGCTGAGTACTGCCGCGGATAGCGCTCGCGAGTCAGTTCTTCTTGGTCCGAAAGGGGTTTTAGGGGGGGTTTGTTCCATGTCAGGTTCAAGTCTTCATGCATGTAATCCAAAACGAATTCGAGGAATTCCTTGGCGTCCTGCTGCTCGTCGATGCCCCACTGTGAGTTGAAGTGGCCGCATATACGCTATGTCCAGTCAGCCACTGTCATTACAATCCAAATGTGTCATAACATACTCTGAAGGTGCTAGGGCGTACGGACGACACATCACCTTTGTAAAGGTTCGAAAGCAACGTCGCATACGCCTCTGGGAGGATACCCTTGGTACCTTTCCAGTTATCCCGCTGCAGGTCGCGCTGGTAGCGCCCTGTTAGGAACAAGTCCGAAAGCAGCAAATGCCCACTTAGACACTGTACTACCGAGTTCATGTAGCATGTAACTCCAAAGTTGAGCAGGCCAGTCCTGTGCAGTCTCAGATTGCTGAATTGGGGCTGTGAATTGTAGATGCTGCGGTTTTGCTGCACGTCTTGGCGTTCGTGGACGCCGCTGTAGCTGACCTTGGGTACCGATGGCGGCGGCCGTGAAGGCGCGGCGGGTATCGCTGGCGGAACGTATTGTTTGGTAGGCTGAGATTTTGGCGGGTACATCATCGACTGCTCAGCTTCGACCGCGGGATATCGGCGCAAGAAGTCTTCGGTGGAATGATAAAAGGATGAGTTGGCCTCTTCATCTTCTTCTTCGCCCTCTGTCGGAGGCACCTCAACAGCGGCTCGCCCTTTCCGGGCCTCTTCCAACCACTTTTGCTGTTCTTCTTGGTCCATGGGCACATATTCACGCCGTGAACGTCTTTGCCAAGTGTTCCTGGTGATGTTGGTAGCTGGAGACCGTCTCACAGCCCGAGTCCTAGTAGGTCCTGCAGCTACTACTGCTGCAGTGGTCGACATTTTCAACGCCTGTGGGCCTACCAAGTCCACCCACGCATCCAGGCCCCCTTTCAAAAGAACAGGCGGGCGTTTGAGAGGCTTGTCGGCGTTGAACTCGTGCAATGTATCAAAAAGCAGTTTCAGGGCCGTTTCCTTTTCCGACCGGCTGGTCTTGTGCATAAAATCAATATTTTTGGTCGATTCGTCGTAGTACACAACAACGTCAAAGTCGTTGCGTCGGTCAAACATGGCCTGCTCTTCGTCTGGCGAAATGACAAGGCGGTCCAACAGCTGCTCTGCCGAGTCGCCGTCGCGTAACGTCAACGGCTCTATGCACATGATGTTTCGCACGTAGACATGGCCTGCGTCGAAATCTGCTCGGTCTCGCACGTCAATTGTGAGCACATTGTACATGCGGTAGTAGTCGTAGAGCATGCTGGCGTCGATTTCCAATTCCACCGATTTACTCAGGGGCCGCGCGCTTTCAGAGGGAGCGCGCATGTTCTGGGCAGGGAAATATGAGTCTGGCACGCCATTTACATTAGGAGCATAATTGGACGCGCTCGACGCAGCCAGCGAGTTGCTACGGCCGCCAGTCCCGTTCATACTCCGAGGAGTACTGCGAGGCGGATTGATGCTTGAAGGGCCCGAGATGTTGCGTGCTGGGCTATATGTCGGGCTAGGCTCTTTGGGCAGCGAGGCGGCAAATGCGGTGTCCAGAGGCAGCTTGGGAGGCGGCGGGGGCGTGGATGCAGACGGCATGGGCATGCTGCGTGGGCCCAAGAGCCTGTTGGTGGAGTGGTAGTCTGCGGGAGAGGGCATTTTGACCGAGAAATCTTGACTCGAGCGGGCAGAAGATGCATCGAGCGGCGGCACCGACCCCCGCAGGTTCGCGAACCGCTGGGCAAGGTCGTTGATGCCGTTGATGCCGTTGACGGAGGCGGCGTTTTGGTGCACGGCGCGGCCATGCAGCGATTGCGGCTTTGGCTGTACAAGCGGTTTTCTCCGCATCGAGTCGAGGGACGCGGCGGGCGAGACACGGCCGTTTGGCATGGTCGTGGGGACCTCTGGGAGCATGAGCTCGTCGTCTCTTCGCGTGAGCGTGGAGCCATTGCGGGAGTCGGCCCTTGTATGGGCGGGCACGGATGCGGTTCGGTGATGGGCGCCATTCCGCTTGTTGTCGTTCTTGATGATGTCCTTGATGCGCATGAAGCGCTCCTCGCTCGACTTGATGTCCTTGACGAGGTCGTTGAAGTCGCGGTAGGCCTGGCTGCGGCTGGCGTTGATCTTGTCGTAGTAGTCGCGGTGGGCAGGGATCAGGTCGACGACAATCTGGTAGGCGACCATGTACTCCCAGTATGCGCCGGCGGGGATGCGGTCGTTGAGCATCGTCTTGGCCGAGTTGAAGTGGGTGCGCGCGGCCTCGAGCAGGTGCCGAATCTACGCATGGTTTGGTCAGCGACGGACGACGAGGCGGTGGGCGGTTCCAGCATGTACCGAGTGGTGCCTGAGCGACTCGGCCGTGTCAGTGGCGGAGGCGATGATCTCGGCAATGGGGGGATACGACGAGGCTGGCCGCCGCGAGTCGCCTGGCCCATGGCTGGTGGTGGTGGTGGTGGTGGTGTTGCTCGGCCATGCATCTGCGCCCAAGGCGTCGCTGTGGCCGTTCATGGTGCTCGCGGGCGGGCGGAGGGGGGTATGCGGAGGGCGGCCGAGGAGCAGCCGCACTCGAGGTAGCACTTTAGGCGTTGGGCACTCGCATGTTCAAGAAGTCGCCCGGAAGGAGGCCCTTGGGTACCTATGGCCGTACGCGACTCCGTGTGCGCCGAGCAGCAGCGATGACGGGGATGCGGGGCGGAGTCGGGGCTGTGCGTGGCGCCCGTGGGAGCGGAGGGGCGGGCGGCGGAAGCTGGGGGGTGGGCGGCGGTGGTGGTGGAGGCACGCAAAAAGAAGGGGGAGGCAGGGCGTGGGTGTGGGCGGGGTGGTGATGGTGGTGGTGTGGTGGTGTGGTGGTGAGGGCGGCGGCGGCGGTGGCGGCGATGTCTGGCGCTGTTTCTCTCTGTTGCAGGCATCCAGAGCCACATATGTATGTGCTAATAAGCATTCTGGCGGCGGCTCATGCGCCTGCGCCCGCGCCTGCGCCTTCCGCCACAGCGCGGGCGTCATCAGCCAAGCCCGCTCTCCTCGCACTGCAGCTGCTTGCTACCCACCGCACCCAACCACCACCACCACCACCACCCTCCCCCAAGCCCGCACGCCCTCACCCACGCCCAACCCCCCAACAGCTTCGCCCAGCCCGCCTCGCACGCCCGCCGCCCGTCGCTCCCCCGCAGATAATAATAATCGTAATCTCCGCCGGCGCACAGCGTCGACTCCATCGCCATGGCGGGCTGGTTCGGGTCGTCGACCAACAGCGCCTTCGAGGAGCAGGTCGAGCGCGCAACGTCTTCGAGCTTGTAGGCCCTGCTCCGCCGCCCCTGCGAGCCTCGCATTCCATACTGACATGCCGCAGAGAGGACATGCCCCTCAATCTCGAGATATCCGACGTGATTCGGTCCAAGACGGTGCAGCCTAAAGACGCCATGCGCTCGCTGAAGAAGAGGATAGGCAACAAGAACCCCAACGTCCAGCTGGCCGCCCTCAACGTACGCCACCCTTCCTCCACGCCGCGCCCACTGTTTGCTGACCCTCCGTCCAGCTCACGGACACGTGCGTCAAGAACGGCGGCGCCCACTTCATCCAAGAGATAGCTTCGCGCGAGTTCCTCGACAACATGACGTCCCTCCTCAAGGCGCCCCCGTCCGTCGCCCCCAACCACGACGTCAAGAGCAAGATGCTGCAATTGATACAGTCGTGGGCAACGGCTGCAGAAGGCCGCCACAATCTCGGCTACATCAACGAGGTCTACATGAGCCTGCAGCGCGAAGGCTACCACTTTCCGCCAAAGGAAAACATTTCCGGCAGTATGCTCGATAGCAGCGCGGTAAGCCCCTCTGCAGCCACACCAACCAGCTGCGCCCAAGCTAACGTGGTTGCAGCCTCCGGAGTGGACAGACTCGGATGTCTGTATGCGATGCCGCACAGCCTTTACCTTTACCAACCGAAAGCACCATTGCCGTAACTGCGGAAACGTCTTTTGTGGCGCCTGTTCGAGCAAGAACATCCCTCTACCCCACTTGGGCATCATGGACCCTGTGCGAGTCGACGATGGTTGCCACGCCAAGATCACAGACAAGTCGCGGGGCTCACACCTTCCCAGGGCCTTTGACTCGTACAAACCCCAGAAAACGCTATACCAGGGCTCAATGGAGCCGCGCAACGCACGTGTGGAGGACAGCTTCGATGCAGATCTCAAGCGGGCCCTGGAGATGAGCTTGGACGAGGCCAAGGGGAACGGCTCTGCTGGCTTCGTCTCGCAGTCTCAGCTGCAGTCCAGTTCTAAACCCACCAATGGAGCGACCAAGAAGCAGCCCGAGGAAGAGGAGGATGCCGACCTAGCTGCTGCCATTGCTGCTTCTTTGGCGGATATGGAAGAACAAAAGAGGAAGTACTCCACGACCTTCCGGGAACAAGCTTCCCATGCCGATGGATCAGTACCGTTTGTCGCACCAAAGAATGATTATGAGTTGACGCCCGTTGAAGCCGAGAACATTAACCTATTTTCCACGCTTGTGGACCGCTTGCAACACCAACCCCCTGGCACAATCCTCCGTGAGCCGCAGATACAGGAGCTTTACGAGAGCATTGGGAAGCTGAGACCGAAGCTTGCGCGTACCTACGGTGAGACTATGAGCAAGCATGGTAGGTACTGTCTAGACCACCCAAGACTATATGCTGACGACCACAGACACACTCCTGGATCTCCATGCTAAGCTATCTACTGTTGTTCGATACTATGATCGTATGCTTGAGGAGCGACTCTCAAGCACATACAATCAAGCCAACACCATGTATGGCCTGCCTGCATCCACCCAACGGCCAGCCTCAAATCTCTATCCCAGCATACAATCAGGCGCGCCAGACGGTGCTGGCGAAAGCTACTACACTGGAAACGCGCCTCCTTCAGGCGCATACGGACGGCCTCAATCAATGTATGGCGGTGGTTACCAGTCACAGCAACAGCCCTATGGTCAGCGACCAGCGTCGTACGCTGCGCCCCAAGAGCAGTACCAACAACCATCACAGCCATATCCCAATCTGGCCCAACAAGCACCCAACACTTCTTACCAACATCCTTCTTCACCCCAACTACAACGTCAGGTATCCAACCAGCAATATCCTTCACAAACACCCACTGGCTACCCCCCGCAAGCGCCGCCGTCAACAGTATCAGACGCAGAGAGCGCGAGCTACTACTATGGAGACAACAATGCCGCACAGCCCTCACAGCCACCCATGCAGCGGACACAAAGTTACGGTTCTCAACCTTTGCAACAGCCACCATCCCCGCAAGCATACGCTCGGGCCCCGCCACAACAGACGCCCATCTCACCGCCCGCGCAGCCTGCTACGGCCTGGCAAAATCCGCCATACCCTCAACAGGACCAACCGCCAAATTGGCAATCAAACCAGAGCCAAGCTCCTCAACAACAAGCCCCACCGCCGCAAGCCCCACCGCAACAGGCGCCTGCACCACATGCACCTCAGCAAGCACCACCGCAGCAAGCTCAACAGCACTGGCAACCTCAACAGCAGCAGCAGCAGCAGCAAGCACTATCAGCACAACAACAAGCACAGCAAACTTCTGGATGGCAGCCTGCACCGTATGCATCGGGGGGATATGGCCCCGAGAGTTTCCCATCAGCGCCTCAGAACCAGCTTCCTGTTCAGCAGCAGCAGCAGCAGAAGGCGGTTGAAGAGCCTCTGATTGACTTGTAAATAAATGGAGAGAAATGTTTCTGTTTAGTTAATCAATCGCTTGAGAAGTTGTATGATTTCTCTCTCTCTCTCTCTCTCTCTTGTATGTGTGTGCGTGCGGCTGGTTTATTTGTTTGTTATGACATGTTGTGTTGTGTTGTGTTTGTTGTGTATGTAGGGATATCCTTGTTCTTTCTGGAACAATAGGTACAAGTATAGGTATAGGTATAGGTAGAGGTAGAGGTGGAGGTAGAGGTAGAGGTAGAGGTAGAGGTATAGGTACAAGTATAGATACTTGGTGTAGTGAGCGTATGAGTTGATTGAGTAGAGTTGATTGAGTAGAGTTGATTGAGTAGAGTTGAGTTGATTGAGTAGAGTTGAGTTAATTGAGTAGAGTTGATTGAGCAGAGTAGAGTAGAGCGGCATAAATCAAACAATGAGGTTTAGCAACGTCTCCCTTGTCATGACGTGTTTCTTCTTTTCTTCTTTTCTTCTTCTTTTTTTTTCTGGTTGTGTTTGATTCAGTTAGATGCGTCGTATGGTGTCAAGTCAAGTCAAGTCAAGTGGTATGATATCGTGTGATAGCGTGGTAGAGTGATAGCAGCAGTCAGTCTGTGAAATGGGGGGAGGGGGGTGGGGGGGGGGGGGTTGTTGCCCATTGATTGCAAGAAAAGGTTAAAACGAGGAACATACTCTCCCCAATGCGTGCATGTGAATTCATCTTCATTAAACTATCTTGTTCCTGTCGCTAAGCTACCCTACCCTATCCTAACCCTATCTTGAGTGTGAGTGTGCGTGTGCGAGTGTGAGTGAGTGTGTATGTGTGTAAAACTTTTTTTTCTGAATCTCAGCATCTTTAAAACTCCCAATTGCACCGAAAAAAAACAAAGCCAAGAGAGTGAGAGAGAGAAAAGGGAAAAAAAGGTCCAACAAACAAGAGTGTTGAATGTTCCAGACAAAGGGCGTGTAAAAGAGAGCCAGAGAGAACCACCGGACGCCGGAATGAATGAGTGAGTGAGTGAAGGAATGGAAGAATGAAAAGAAAGAAAAATAAGTCTCCTAGGTCTATAAAGTGGATGGGAAGCAAGGAAGATGAATCCTTGATCGAAGAGGACAAAAAAGGAGGGTCTATGGACCTTCAATTGACAAAGCGCGATGGCGAGGGAAAGAAAAGAAGGGCATGGGACTTTGAACAACATGTGCCGCGTCCATGCAAGTTGAAGATGCTGATGCAGAATAATCTTCCCAACCAGGCCAAAAGAAAGGAAAGACGAAGGGTATAAAATGCATGTACGCCTCGGATCAAGAGTGACTTAATAGCTTTGCAACGAAAAACAAAAGTAGCTTGATAAAGTGCGTGATTCCTAACGGCCAAGACTACTCCAAAGGGCAAAGTGGTAAAACACGGAGTTGCCTGATTGTAGGATTCAAGATTCCCTCTGTTGACAGAAAAAAGACGGGTCGTAGTGGTGTCATTAGGACAATAGATTGTGGAGCGAGGAATTTGGTGGCGACATGATCCTTCCTGGAGCGGAAATTCCTTGGGCGTTCCGAAGAGGCCCGGGGTAATAGTCGGAGTTTGCGCGCAGCGAGGAAGGGCTCGGCACGACGACCTTGGCTCAATTGAGACGAGACGCGATGGTGAGCAAAGGAGGGCAGAGGGGCCTGGAAGCTGGCCGTGGTGGGCTACCACTGGCTCAGACAAACTCTGGCCAGTAGTTGTATGGCATGAGAATTGGACCAGTCCATTTCTCGCCATAGGCGTTGGTGCGCCTGCCAGCAATGAAATCGTCGTGGGCGTGCTCAAGGACGGAGATCCACGACGAGGGCTCGGGATGCTTCATCCACTGCAAGTGTCTTGTTAGCGAATGTTTTTTTTTGCTTTTAGTAGTGGTAGTGCGGGGAAATAGGCTTACCTGGTTGTGGATATGATAGGTCCATGCACCACGGAAGAAGTTTTCCAGGGTGCGGTTGTTGGGCGGGAACTTGTCTTCTTCCAAGATATAATCTGACACGACGCCCGCTTTGCGCAGCTCCGCCTCTTCATCCAATGTAGCCTGGAACGAATCATGGTGGCCTGGCCTGTCGCCGTGGGGGGGAGTGAGGGCTGCAGAGGAAGCTGGCACATTGTCTTCACTACGCTTCGTCTCCTGGATGCTTGTGGCGCGGAGCTCCTTGCGTTGGGCATCCTTCAGGTTGATGCGCTCTAGTTGCGGGCCATCGTAGCTCTCCCACTCATCCCTGATGCTGCCAATGCTTCCCTTGAAAACAGCACCGTAGTCGCGAAAGCATGGAACGGTGCATCGACCCTCGCGGTCCCAGTTGAATTCGGTCCAGATGGGATCAAAGGCAGCCGTCTCGAACATTTTGAATTCCTGATCACGGCCGTCCTTCCAGGCCATGCGACCCAGGACACGAGGGTGGAAGTTGACACCCATGCGGATACCGCCGTAGAGCAGGTACGACGAAAGCGAAGAGTTTGCCGAAAGCGACATGATTGCCGTGTTGTAGTCGCCTGGGTGGGGGTGGGCTCCCCATCGCTCGGCAAAGGCGTGCTCCTTGGGCAACAAGAGCGGGCGCATGTCCCTCAGCATCAGCACATCCATGTCGAAGTAGGCGCCGCCATACATGTGCAGCACGATGAAGCGAACGGCGTCGGAGACGGCGACGGGGAGGAAAGTCATTTGCCTCTGCGTCAGGACCAGCCACTGCTGGCCGTGCTTGTCTTCGATGATGTTCTCGGCCACCTCCCTGTCGCCCTTGGAGTTGGGCAGTCCGGGCTTGGTGTAGTAGTTGAAGCCGTTCCTGTTCTCCTTGTCGGTGGCCAGCGGAATGCGGCTGGGAAACTTCCAGGCCTTGACAACAATGTCACCGCGCTCGACGAGGGGCAGGAAGCGGGCGAAGAGGGCGTCCTTGTTGAGCATGTTGTCGACGGCCTTGGGGTTCTTGTCGCTGTCGAGCCACAGCCACAGGCGCGAGCAGGCCAGGTTCTGGGTGTAGAGGTAGCTCTTGATGAAGACCTCGACGCGCCAGGTGGCGGGGCCTGTCCAGTAGACGTGGTATGGGATGATGGGGCCGGGACAGGTGCCAATGCTCGAGCCGTTTGCAGCGACGGCGCTCTCGATGGGGATGTACTTGTCGAGCGTCTTGCCGTGGCCGTCGGCGTTGATGTAGTCAGCCTTGCGGGGGTCTTGGGCGCTGGCGCGGTGGGCGGGCTCGGGGAGCGAGTAGTAGCGGTGCTCTTGCTTGGCAAAGAAGTTGAGGCAGTCGTAGGGTTTGCGCATCTTCTCGATGCTGGCGTACGAGCCCCTGCACTCCTCAATCAGCATGTCGATGTCGGCCTCGGTGTCGACGTGGGGGCGGGGGCCCAGGTAGTCGTCCTTGTTCCTGACGGCGGAGAGGGGGCGGTTGAAGACATTGGCGTGCGGGTTGATGGTGACGGTCTTGGTGGTGCCGGCGAACTTGACCTTGACGCCAGCCGACGTCGTCTCGATCAGCTCCGTGGGGCCGGCCTTGTCGAGGAAGGCGGGAATGCCAATCTTGCCCCTTGCGGCGACCGAGGGGTCGTTGACAAAGGTGATGAAGCCATAGACGGCGGCGTAGAGCAGGGCAGCCAGCAGCAGGTTCTTGAACAGCGTCAAGACTGCGCGGAGTTTGGACACTTCGGCCATGGCACAGGACTGGGGGCGGGACGGGGGTGGTGGAGAGGGGGGGGGGGTGGGCTGAAGATGTGCGCGATGGAGCTGGCCGCGGGCGTCTTATAGAGGTGGGCAGGCGGGCGGGCCAAGGGCGACTTCAGGAGGCTTGGAGGGGGGAGCGTGTCTGTGTGTGTGTGTGTGTGTGTGGAGAGTGGAGCGAGGAGCGTGCCCTGGATGGAGAAAGGGAAGGTTGTGCCCTGAACCACGGGCGGAGTCGCACGACTGCAGGGGTCCACAGTGCGCTATATACCGATGTATGGATGGAGGGAGGGAGGCCCAGATGTGAGTAGTGCCGGGCGCAGCAGCGTGTGCACAACAAGACGGTGAGATTTGGGGGGCGCGGGCGTTGTCGCGGTGCAGCAGCTGGCGGGCGTGGCGGCGTCTAGCTGAGGGAGGGCTGAGGGGGCCGCCTTGGGGTGGTAGTAGTAGTGGTGGTGGTGGTGGTGGTGGTAGTGGTAGTAGTCAATAAAGGGAATGGGGGCGCGACAAAGCCACACACGACGCGACGATGGGCAGGCGGGCCAAGAGAGGGACAAGAACAAGAACAAGAACAAGAACAGCAACAGCAAGGAGAGGTGCAGGAGGGAGCGTGGGCGTGGGAGCGAGCGACGAAACGAGACAAGACGCGACGAGACGAGCCGGCAGTGGAGCGAGAAAAGGACCCCAGGACTGCCGACGGCGAAGAAGCTGGAGAGGGCAGAACGTCGTGCGCGCGCTCGTAGTAATTTCCCAATTCCGCTCGCTGTGAGGCCGCGCGCCACATGCTGACCCGCCCGCCGCCTCCTGAGCAAGCCTAACGCCTTTGGTCGCCGCTGCATGCGCTGCAATGCACCGCTGCTCGCAAGCTTCGCCTTGCACTGCATCTGTGCCGCGGCTGGTGCTGCTGCTGAGGTGCTGTTCTGCGGTTCGCGGCGACCGCCTTTTTTTTTCCTTCTCCCCTAACACACTAACTTACCGCCCGCTGTCGTATTTGGCGCGAGGGAGAGAGTCAGTTGCGCGACGCCACCCCGCCGCCCCATCGCCCACCCCTGCCCTGCACTTGGATGCCTGTGCCTGCCACCAACACCGCCACCACCACCACGACAACCACCACGACTACCATCACCATCACCACCACCACGACTGCCATCACCACCCCCATCACCCCCATCACCCCCATCACCTCCATCGCCGCCATCACCACCCCCCATCGCCGCCATCACTGCCGCCCCCTCTTGGATGCCGCGGAACGTCTGCCAAAAGGCTGTCACTGCGCTGCTGCCCCCGCTACGGCGGCCCGCCTTGAGCGCGCGCCTGGGCCCATGCCACGGCCGTCTATTCTCAGCTGCCTCAGCTCCTCCGCCCTACGAACACGTCGACGTGCCCTGCCGCTCCAACGGCTCCTTGACGGTTGAGTGAGTCTCTTCTTCCGTCTTGTCTTCTGTCGCATGACGTTGCTCGCTGCACCCGTCTTGGATTCGGGCCACCGCTGCCCACACACACACGGCCCTGCTCCTGTGCCATGATCTCACCGCCCGCTTGAACCCTAGTCGCTCCACCACAGCAACAGGACGCCCGACCCTTCATCACAAGACTAACCAATCGCCCCAGCATCTTCCACGCCGCCAAACCCTCGGCTCCCGTCCTGCTCTATCTGCCCCCAGGCCCTGTGCTGCCCCAATCTACCGACGATGAACTTCGCGTCATCACAACCCTGGCTGCAGCAAGCGCCACCACCCTGGTCCGCATCAACTATCGCGCCTCGTCGACACACCAGTATCCCACGCCCTGCCATGACGTGCTGGTTGCCTACGACTGGGTCCGCGACAACCTGCTCGTCGATGGCTTCAACCGTCCCCATCTCGCCCGTCTCGCCGTATGCGGAGAGCTCATTGGAGGCTCATTGGCCACCATGCTGGCGCTGACAGAGTGCCGCAAGGGTGAGAGCCGCATCGGCGCCGCCGCCGTCAACAACCCGCTTGTCGACTGGGTCTTTCCGGACGACCTTCCTGTCGTGATGCCCGAAGACCTCCCAGAGCCTCTTTTTGGCGACGAGACTGCCTTTCCTGCAGACGCCGATCTGGCAGACTCGCTGGCTCTGCGCGAGAGCATTGCCCACGTGCTGCAATCCGAGCAAAAGCCTCCCAAGAAGCGCTCGCCAAAGAACCCTCCCCCGACATCGTGGCAGATGCACGGCGACAACACAGTCATACCTGCACTGACCCTCTCTGGCGAACGCGATGTCCTCTTCAAGAGACCCGAAGACTACTTTGATCGCTTTGCCTCGCCTATCCACTTCTTTCGCTCTCCCCACGCCCAGCTAGTCTACCCACCCTCGGACCATGTCTTTGCCTCGCAGCAGCCTGACGCGCTGCTCGACATGGAGGCCCAGCTTGCCCTCCATCACTATGCCACTTTTGATGAAAACGCCAAACTAGAACCGCCCTTCCCCGTCCTCAGCCGATGTCGCGCATACGCCAGAGGCTATCCCCCGGCTGGCACCAACCTAACCATGCCCGTCTGGAACATTACCACGGGCTTGCAAAGTCCTCTCTCGGATAGTGCTCTCGAGCTAGCCAGGATGATACGCCGAACCATTGCCCGCCATACCATGAAGACGCATACAGGCAGATCGCGATGGCATGATGATGCCGAAAAGAAGCAATACGAGGAGCTTGCCCATGGCCGTGTGCAAGTCAACTCACATCCGGGTTTGGGGCTGTGGACTGAGCAGAGTGATGCCCCGGAATCCCAGTCACGTCTGCAACATGTAGGAGCTTGGATAAAGCAGCGTCTAGATCCAGCCTTTGTTTGAATCCAACAAAATTCTCAGCGTGCATCCAGCCCACAGGGAGACACAGATGCGAGAGAGGAGGTGCACGACCACGACGACAGCGACGGCAATGGCAACAATCAGATAGCATTTTACGGGCCCACCTTACCACAACAGCCAGTAGCGCCAACCCCAGTACAACACCCCTTGCCGTTCTTTGTGCATCCACCACTGATCTTTTCCATCCAATCTTTTACCCAAGTCCATTTCTCGCCCAGGCCCGTGTACCTAACCCATCTCCCGCAGCCGTCGCCCTAGGAGCAGACTACGCTAGAGAGCGCACCGCTGTTTTCCATGCAGAGAGAGAGAGCTAGGTAATGCCCAGTGGAGGTACATTGTCATTGTACAAGGCCGTGTCCCAGGCAATCCTGACGATGCCTGGGCATACTACCTCTCTGCCACTCAGAGATATGATAGCGCAAGGATGGCATGGCAGACTGTAAATGATACTATCAAGAGAGAGCTGGGACATGGTGCATAGTGGATAGGACAGCTGTGGAAGAAACGTCAGGATATGTGGAGCACCGAGTGTGAGCTATGTAGGTGGCACGCAAATCTTAGCCTCATAACTAGCTACATGAGAATTGCATCTTGAAGACACTGAATGTCTTTGAAAATTGTATTGTGAGACTACACCTGATATCATCATGTCTGCGTGCCATCTCTATGAGAAGCAACTAATGCCTCGCAAGTTTCCTGACTGGACAGACATTTTGTTTCAAAGCCCCAGTCGACATCATACCAAAGTTCATTCAACGAACAAAATCCACAAAGTCTCCATTACAAATCCTGGAAAAACCTGACATTCCATCGACTCGAACTGAATCAAGTCAAGACACTGATATCCTCTGTGACCTGTTGTGTACATCTTCTTTCCTTTCCTCTCTTCCTTCCTTGCCTACCCATCTGCCACCAGAGACACAGCACACACAGCCCTAAGCAGTATCCAAGTCGTCCAATTCCTCTCCTGAAAGCGGCGTGCGAACACTGGCAGTCTGGGAGCTTGCAGTACTCGCACCACCACCACCGTACTGCTTCATCTGGAGGTCCTTGAGAATCTTCTGGCCCTGCACCAGCGAATCGCGCTGTCCAAGCAGTTCCCTACGCTGATTATAGCGCTGCGGCGATTCAGCTAGGAGACGTACTGCGTTTTGGTGACCTGGATATGTGTGCAATCAACGCGTTAGTTGATGGTTTTCACAAGGATATTGCATGCAACACCTGGCCTAGGCATGAATAAAAATGAGAACGCACCTTCGCGACTATCATTCAGCCCCAGCCCATTCTCCAGCTCATCCCGCATCTGCGTGCGAAGCTGCTTGTAAAACTGCGATTCAATCCGCATGCACACGGCGTCGTGGAAGCGGCGGGCCGCAAGTACATAGTACGTGTATACCTGGGCTACAACGCCGAGTTCGACTTCGTACGGCTCGTGGCGCAGAACCGCCATGGCGCGCTCATCTTTCTTGAGTTTGTCCTCGTCGGCCGCCGTGGTGTCTTTGCGCGTAGCTGTTGAGGCGCGCGCGGAGCCGGTGGTCGCGGTAGTTTGTCAGGACGGCTGCTTTGTCGGCTTCGAAGACTTCGGTGTGGAAGATATAAGGGCCTTCTTTTTCGTTGGCCAGACTCTCGTCGGCCATGGTGGTGCGCTGCTGGTGGCAGTTTAGATCGAGCATTTGCTCGACCATTTTCCACGCGTGCGCGTGGAACATGGAGCCCTCGCGGCTCTTGAAGTGCTTCTGGAATACCGTGTGCACGTGCGCTTTGACCTGGTTCGTTAGCAGGGTGAAGAAGTGGTCGAGCGGTTTGTCCCAGTGCTCGATTGCTTCGAGCATCATGTTGTTGATGACCCGCGGCTCGATCTGCCCGGGGATTCGCGACTGCGAGTTCTCAGCTAGGTACTGCCGGACGCCGTCGAGAGAGAAGTGTTTCCGAAGGCTGCTGAAGTCTGGGAAGAGTGGAGGCATGGTTTCCTCTGGCGCCTTGGATGCTGCTCGTCGGCCAGGCGTCTTGGCTGGTGATGGTACGGGCGGATGCATAACCTTTCGCTTCTTCGTCGGAGTCTCCACCGTGTTCAGCGCGGGGGAGCCTTCATCTTCATCGTCGTAGTCATCCGTGTCGTCGTCCTCATCCGTGATTGGAATCGGCTTTTTGGCTGAACTGCCAGGAAGCGTTGCCAGTATCTTGTCATAGACAGACTCGTCTTCCTCTCCCCTAGTCTGCATAGTCGGCTTCATCTTGATCAGTGCTTCAAAAAAGGCCTTTTGCAGTGCTCGCCAGTTGTTGCGCCACACCTTGTATGGGAACTCGGCTTCGATCTCCTTGCGCAGCTCTTGCGAGAAGTCCAAGATGACATCCGAGATGATGCGAGAAGCGTTGTGCGTGGGTGGCTCAGGAAATTGCTCAAGACCAGTCTCGACTTGGCCGAGACGCATGTTGATCTGCTCCTCGATGATGGGCAACTTCTTGATAATCTGCTCAGCAAGCTTTCGAGAAAGAAACCTTTGAAGGTTAACCGTGCCAAAGCGGTGCTGGTAGTCCTTGAATGTCGACCAAGTGGCATCTTGGCTGAAAAAGTCTTGCTCTTGGGCGCGAGCTTGTTGGTGGGTGATACCTGCATTGATCTGGTCTTGATTGAGGTTTTTGAGGACAAAGTAGCCATGGCCTAGCACGAAGCGCTTCTGGTCGAATACCTCCACCAACTTGTCGTGGCGCGATCCATCTGGCAAGCGATCGGGTTTGGTGAGTACACCTGGATTGACATTAGTACATTGCAATCGATTGGAAATGTTAATACACACCAATGCATCTATCAGTTGCCTTTAACTGCCTTGCAATGCCGCCAGCAGTGGAGTTGGCCATGTCAGTTTCCAGTGAGCAACATACAAGGATGAGAGTCTCAGGGTCCTTGACATAGTCCGTTACCAGATCGCGGACAAACTTGACAAGAAACTGGCTTTCTTCGGTCTCTGCCTGTCCAATGACTCCGGGCAAGTCGTAAAAGCTCAATGCAGGCAAGGCTGGCTGAGTGATGGAAATGCAGACAATATTAGGGCTGAAATCGCAGTGATGATGGTCTTTTTCGTTGGGCAGGCACGGGCGCAGAAACTCTCGAAAATCAACCAGAGGGCTGACAGTTGCGCGCTGTGCCCGAATTATGATATTCTCGAGATCATTGGCATCTTCAGTGGCTGCAAAGTGTACGATGCTTGGCTGCGACAAACGGAACCATCCGGGAAACCGACGGTCAGCTCCTCTACCGGTCTTGCCATCGTAGTTGAATTCGCGGCGGAAGCTCACACTTGCACTCCAGTTGGCGGGGGGATCTTCGGAAGGCTCAAGCTTGATGAACAAGGGGCAACGAGTGCAGGTTCCATCAGCCCGAGGGAGCTTTATGCCGGATATCGCCTCGATGACGGATGATTTTCCCGCTGACTGTTCACCTATTGGACGTCAGCGATGAGAAGTGCGTTGACTCGTGGGTCAGCTTACCCAAGACGATGCATTTTGGGGGAGGGATTTCCATGCGCTGCAACCCAAGACCTTCGAGCCGGTTGATGGTTGCAATCACTTCCTTGACGTGCACTCCGAGGGAGCCGATCCCGGGTGGTTCTGAAGAAGGGGGCTGGTTGTTCAACGCTAGATCATAGTCTGTCAGACTGTGGTGTAAGTAGAGACCGCGAATCACTCACCATCTTGGTCAGCCAAGTGGATCGGCTCAAGATCCTCGCTAAGATGGGCGACGGCATCGCCATCGCCGTCTGGTTTGGTGCGGGCCATGCTGAGCAAGTTCCGAGTGGGGTTGTGTAGAAGGGCGACGAGAGCAGCGAGCAAGTAAGAGAGCGGACTTTGGCCAGGTTGATATACCAGTGTTTGCCAAGAATTTCCTGGATTAGGCAGCACATGGTGACACAGGCTTGCAAGTGGGGTACGGCGACAATGAGGAAGTGAAGGTGATCAGTGAATGCGAGCTGGCAGGGTGGAGTGAGGAGAACACAACGAATGAGACGCCACGAGCTGCGAGAGAGTAAAAGCTGATTACATAACACTAATGTATGGGGACTGGAGTGGGGAGAAGAGATGTATGGCTCAGAGAACCTTTTGTGTCCAAGTAGATTCGAGAATATGATATTGATTATTTCTGGGGAGAATGGCCAACCTGAGGGACAGAGAGCAGTCAGTGATGCATGATGCCTGGGTGCTTGCTGGAATGCGATTTCCCTCTCTTTGCGAACAGCTCAATCTGTAAAGATTGCAATTTGATAATTGTGCATTGTTGTTGCATACCAGATGTATGGCGACGCATATTTGTTTGGCCTGGGCTGTTTGTGGGGCGCAGCGTGATTCATCACTCACGCTCATGTCAGGTTGCGCAATCTTCTCGACATGCTGCAAGGGAAATGTAAATTGAGTGTTGTACTATATGAATAGCAGGAGGTCGTGATGATCATGTTGTTGAAGGGCTCTACGATAGATGTCGCTGGCGCAAGACGTCGTGAATGGCGGGCCCGAGGTTTTGCCGCTAGCGCAACGGGAGCCAGGGTCTTGGAGAGAAAAACGTCGAAGCCCATCGTCACCGGTGGCTACCATCCGACCACAACCTCGCCAGAAGCCTCTCTTTGCCCGCAACCCCGCCAAATCCCCTCATTCCCGCAGCACTAATACATAATGGATCATTCACGCGATCCCTGTCCATGGGTCATTCTCAATGACTTTGGCGGTGCCTTCGCCATGGGCGTATGTCATTTGACCCGCAGCGGCTACAGCACATGTACTGATAAGCAATCAGGCAGTCGGAGGAGCAGTGTGGCATGGGGTTAAAGGCGTATGTATTTGTAGCCCTCCCAGCATGCGGCGCTGACAAGGCCTTTAGTTCCGCAATTCACCCTACGGCGAGCGACGCATAGGCGCCATTACAGCGATCAAAGCCCGCGCACCCGTTCTCGGCGGCAATTTTGGCGTCTGGGGAGGCCTTTTCAACACATACGACTGCGCTGTCAAGGGCATCCGCAAGAAGGAAGACCCGTGGAACGCCATCATTGCCGGTTTCTTCACCGGCGGTTCGCTCGCAGTACGAGGAGGCTACAAGTCGATGCGCAACGGCGCAATATCGTGTGCGATCCTACTAGCAGTCATCGAGGGTGTTTCGATAGGCTTCAATCGCATGATGGCAGACAACACAAGGCTCGACGCTCCCCCGCCACCACCAAGCGACGTCGGAGCATCGCCTGGTGGCGGTATGGCTGTGGCTGCATAGGCGATTGCGGTGCGTGGGTTATGTTTTTGAAGCACGGGTTATTGCAGTGCGAAAAAAAAAGAGGCGGGATGATGGCTGGACAAGCGGTGTTCTTGGGATGTTTTGGCATATACCGCAGGCAGGTTCGGCAGCGGGCGGCGTTCACACTCTCCTCAGCTTTGTGCTATATCTGTATCATATACGCGACACGACTGTACAACATCTGGAGGCGCCTCTAGACAAAAGTATGGAGTGTCCAAGAGTTTGGAAAATGACGAAAGCATTTCTGGCATTGCTTGACATTACCAACCATGCATTGGCACATCCACATCCGTCACTACACGGCTAATCTGGTGCTGCAGTCTCGAGCGCCAAGACCGGTCCGAGAAGTTCCGATGACATCATGGATCCACTGCAGTATACACAGCTTCCAGCTTCTGCGGAGCGTCTTGGACTCTCTGTATAGGGTGTATTGGTATGCTGATAGTCTTCAGCGCACATGGATGTTGCTAAATTTACCCAGCTAGCCGCTTCAGGAGACTAGCGTCGGCAAGTCAGCCACGCACCTACCGCCTTTCACCTCGACTATTTCCAGCCGGCGTCCCAAATCCTTTCATCTGCATTACCATAATGCCATCTATACGCAGTATACCATCACACCACAGACACTTGAGACTCCCCGCCACCGGACATTCACACACGATCTACCCGCGTGGCCTGCAATACCCTTGGACTATTACCCTTCTTGGACGAGACCATGGCACCATCCCGGCCATCTAGACCATCACGTTCCGTCACCTACATTATCAAATCCATCACAAGAAATTGGAAGATTGATCGGGTGCATGAATGTTTACCCAGAGCGCTATGGCCCAACAAGCAATTCGAAGCGACCCAATGGGACATCGGAATTCTTACCCTCCTTGGCCAAATATCCGCCATACCAAATGCCACCATTCAGGACTTTCGGGCAAAGCTCAGACGTGCAATCAAAGCAAGACAGGAGAGAAATGAGACAGCAGCAGGGAAAGTAGGGTGGGTGAAAGTAACAGATCTCAAGGCTGTTCTGAAAGAGTACGAGAAAGAGATTGCCGAAGCAGACGCCGAGAAAATTGCCCAAGAAGAGAGAGAGTCAACTGTTAATGTCCAACATGAATCTGTGGAGTTGCCCAAGACACCTGTGGCACCTGTTGTGGATTCAGAGGAGGATGAGGAAGAAGCAGGTTCTTCTGATCCTCTTCCAGGGGGAAAATATCAGTATCTTACCCACGTCCGCCCGTTAAAAGTCGACTTGAACCCTTCGGCGTCTCCAGCAGCAAAGCCGATACGGGAAAAGCCAACTCGAGGAAAAAAGCGTCAAGTAGAGGAGGAAGTCACTGCTGACCCAGGTGTCATGCAACGGACAAGCGAGGTACAGCAAGATCCTGAGCCCCGGGACACGGATGATACCGGATTTCTCTCTGACCTCGAGCCAGAGAGGGTGGATAAAAAAGAGCGGAAGAAGAAAAGACTCTCGAGGCTTGAGCAGTATCGTGTTCGTGTGCCGCATTGGCAGCGGGATTTGGATGAGGTGACAGGCAGCCATTCACTGCTCTCAAATGGCACTGGGGTCATTGGCGGGGCGAAACTTGAGGATGCGACTGTAAATGAAAACGGGGATCTGGATCTCGAGATGGACCTGAAGAACTTGCCGAGTATACCGGATAATGCGACGATTAGGGAAAGAACAGAGATGGAAGAACTAAGGCTTCGGATGGAACAGCGCATATGGAGAATCAAGGTGCTAAGGATAAAGCAAAGAGAAGGTCATGGGGAAGAAGTAATTGGACAGGTTGAGATTGCAGATTGCGAGAGCTTGGAAGGTCAGAATGAAGGAGATGGTACGGCTGAGGTTGAAGATGAAGATGACCATGAGAATCAAGATAATAATAGTCCTGGTGAAGGTAGGATATTGAGGAGCAGAAAAGGAAAGTAAAACGATGCTATGACTGCAACATTAGTACAACTGCTGCTACACTGATTGTGATCAAGGCAAAGAACTTCTTAGAAAGTAGTTGTTTTTTAACACCTGCACAATTTCCGGTCCCAGACCGACAACTTGTTTATTCACAGGAATCGATGGTAGCAACACATACTCTGGTGGACTTATGGTAACCTAATCATTCTCATTACATCTGGTATTAGGCCGAGGTCGATCTTGGTATTCCTTTCCTAGTCAGGGTATCTTACGTTTCTTCACGCACATCTCCAAAAACGTTAGAGTGAATATTAATAATGGTAGGCCTTGACGTTTAATGCCTCGGTTTACAACATGCTTATAGATGGCCATGGATAGGTCATCTATTGTATTAATGCTACGGTTGGTTGCCGGGATTACTATTCCTCCTGGATTACTGTGTTCCGGCCGCTGCGAGCGGGTCTCAAATAATCCCCGATATTATTCTGGCAACGGCAGACGTTTGTGTAATCTTGGGAAAAGAGGTAAAGTAATGTGCGGCATGCGTAGTGGCATCTTGATCTTGTGGATAGAGCTCTCTGCCATGCATGCAGGCATAATATCATCTTTTCGACAATCTTTTCGAGCCCTTTCGCGTCTTTCATCGATCCCGCTATGGTCTGGATACCATGGCGCAGCGAGGCGTACGAGAAAGTCGGCCTTGACCACGACTCTTCCAATGATGACCCAAAAAGCAGAACGTCGATGGTAACAGAAACAAAAATACTGTGGATACTAACATCACTCAATCTTACCATTCTGGGTCTCGTTCTTTTCGGCGGCCACATCGTTCTCCAATCACACGTTGCCTTACCATCCACACACTCCTCCTTGTCCTCTTCTTCGCAAGAAATACCCATCTCCATCACACAATGCGGTACCACACCCTCGGAAGCGCGCGCCCGCGGCTGCCGTTTCGAATCCAACAACCTCGCGTGGGTCCCACCAGAATGCTACGACGAGCAACTCAGCGCCGAATGGGACGCCCAAGACTGGGATTACGCGCTCAACTCGTCTCAAACACCCGTCTCAAAATCCAAAGTACTGCAGGGCGAGCTCGAGGCCGTGTGGGTGACTTGGGGCCAGCACATTGCGCATTGTGCGCTGCTGGTGCGCAAGTATCAGCGCGCTGTTATGTTTAATTGGCCGTTGGATAATTGGACGAGTAGCTATGAGCATACGGCGCATTGTGCAAAGAGTTATACAGATTGGAAGCTTATGGCGCACCCGCAGAAGATGAATGCGGTTGTGAATTTGAAATTTCCGACTTGTGGGTATGAGTGGAAGGAGGGGATCCTCGGGGCGGCGTCATGAAGGTTTTTTGATCTAGTTGCGTTGGGGGCAGTAGCAATATGATACCAGAAAATCAGTGGGATATATGAAGTGCCGTGATCATCTGTGGTTGAGCGGCGTGAGTCTGGATATGTTTAACCTATTTTTAAGAGGATCACGGCTTGTGTGGTTAATGCATAATATTTAGGACATAGCAAGTAGTTGATGTTATCATGAGAGAGCTAGGTATATAATCGATTTAGGAAAGGAAATTCGTTGTTGATGTTCGTGAATCTAGGTATTTATAGTACCATCCGAAGATACATAATGATGCCCATTCGTCTTTACGAGACCTATCGCCTGGTTCACATGAGCCCCGTAAGGATTGCCTAGATAGCGATGAATCAGCTTTTTAGTCAAATGAACTATAGGAAAGAGAACTTACCATAAATGGGGTGCTTCATGTTATCGCCAGAGGGAACAAAGGTGCGTTTCTCCGCCCATTCGTCAATGCGATCCCAGTTAACGCAAGAATGGCTTCCACCATCCACCTTGGCAATAGGCAGCGCACTTCTGTTGTAATCATTAGACACCAAAAAATGTGCTTTAGCAAGTCCTTTTTCGCTTACTCTGCTATCCAATGCATCATGATTGGCGTTGTGTCAGCATTGCACGTGAGGTACTGTCTTAACCAATTCAAGCAGTGCTCTGTTGATGTTTAGTAAACAAAGTTTTCGACGCGAATGTTGATCGAAGAAATCATGAGTGCCTACCTGCATGGTATTTCAAAAGCAGCTTCTCATCATCTGAGAAGGAAGAATAGTAGTGCTCAGGATATAGGTAATGATGCAGCCTCTCCATGCAGTGAAGTCCATGATATACAGTCAAAGTAGCAAATGCGCCACTGCCATCAGTCAATTGTATAACTGTGTCATCTTCAATAGGTTGACCAAGATCTTTTTCAGTCAAATATATATTCTGATCTATGTTGTTGTCAGACACTGCGTCCCCATTCGCAAAAACCCCCCTCACTTACTCTTTGTTAGTTTTCGCCATGCCGCGTCCAGCGCGGGTCTGGGCTTTCCGCCGAAATTTGTGGGTTTCTTGGGGTTCAGAGTTCCATTATGGAACTGGATGGGGATATCTTCAAAAACTCGATATTCGTACTCGATTGCATGTTTAAGAGGTGCTACATGGAAGAGATGGAAGTAAGTAGAGCCTCAGCAAGTGATGCAGCATTGACTTACTATGCGCATGGGCTGGGTCCCATGTCTTTCTACTAGCCACAAGGTATACGATGAGATTCATGATTCCTAGAAGAGAATGCACTGCAATGGCGACCCAGTGTCGCCTTAACCAAGATCTGCACTTAGGATCAATTTCACCCAGTTCTGAGGCGAGTTGTTCTTTCGATCTGCCATCCTCACTGGGAGTCGGCGATAAGTCCGTCTGGATCTTGGAATAGGTGGGGGAACTGGATCGAAAATTTAGGAATGTGAGCATCTTCTGGCAGAGTGGGTATGAAGATCAAGGCTCCTTCCCGCGTTGCAAGCTGGATTATCTGATATTTGCGGCGTTTAGCGGGTGCCAAGTACTACTTATCGGACATTTTGTGGGTTGCAACATGTTGCTCAAATGCGAGACACGGTACTAGAAATCAACAAAGTGGCGGGGAAATATTCCGTCCCCGCAAAGGAGATTGTGCTTGCCGGACAGGGTGTGGTATCATGTTTAACTGCCAGATTTCACGTACCCGGTGCAAGGAAGAACCGTAGTTGAGAAAGACAGGGATTTTAATCGGTTGTACAAAAGCTACGGGCAGAACTGCTGCGTCTTTGTCAACTCATTGGAACAATCCCAACTTCTATCTTACTCCAAATTCTCTTTCAATCAATTTAAAACCCAATACGACTATTCTTTCGAATATTCACTTCGGCCAAGAAACAAAAATGTACACCAAGCATCTCTTCGCTTTCCTCGTTGCAGCGACCGCTGTCGCCATGGCTCTCCCAACTCCCCTCGAGGCCGACGGGAAACGGACTGTCTCTTCCCGCGATAGCGAGCTTCCAGCTGATGAGAAGTGGGCAGTAGTCATTTCCTACTAGACACAGGATTTACACACTGTGGATGGATCAGCTCTTCGATATGACTGGTCAAAATCTTTCCTTGTACACCACGACTGAACGCGGTTATGGATAATGATCTAGCTTGTTATCACACCTATATCAATTCGATAGCATACAATGGAAGTAAGTCGGAAATTTATAAGTCGCTCTCTGAATGCGAGATATTGCAGAAAACAGCATAATAGCTCATTCCATTTGATGAACAATTGATGGTCTTTTACAATGTCACATATCCAATGCCCATGTAAAGCAGCGCATTTGATTTTTTCAAATTCAATTGGGGTTTGTAAAAGCTGACTACCAGTCCACGCAGATTAATGAATGGAAGTGACTTGAGCACTGACTCAGACATCTTATGCTGTTGCAATCGCTGGAGAGTTGAACGAGGTAGCTGTGCATATGATGTTGATGTCACTGGTGCAAAAGCAATGTCGGCCGCTCAATCATGCTATGATTTCAGAGTTAGCATTTAGGGAGTGCTAAGTCCTGATTATTCTACGGAGATGTCTACACCGTAGTACAGATGCGGTTAGTGATTTTAAGAAAACTCCGAAGTAGCACATCACATGACCTTAGCAAGTCCGCAATTCTCACGGCGCCATAGCGTGCCAGTAAATGTAATGGTGAGTTATCAAGTGCCAGATGATTTATACTTTTGACACTGTTCGTTTAAAACTCAATTGACAATGATATGGCCCTTTTCACCTCGCTTAAGCAAATACGAAAATCTTGAGGAATGCAATGAGGAACCAGTGTACGATGTCAGCAAAAGCAGACCGTTGAATTACTATATTCTCCTTCTCCTTCATTTATCTACGGCCGCAATTCTACTTCTAGGAATTCGAGTGTTGTACCTTTCAGAAGTCAGCCTTCGAGCGAGTACTCATTGCGGACTTGGCCGTTTGGAAACATCTAGCCAGCATCCCAAACTCGCTTACGAAATCTCGAAAAACAATCCAATATCTTTCAGAGATTGCGGCGGATCTCCTGATGAGGCTCGAGCGCGCGGTTGTCGTTTTGAACTGCACAACTTCGCCTGGATTCCACCGGAATGTTACGACGAGGAGTTATCGCAAGAGTGGTACGACAAGTATGATTGGCCAATGACGCACGATCGATATGGCCAGCAAGTCATATCGAAGGAGGAAGCGCAAAAAGGGAATATCGCCGCAGCGTGGGTTACTTGGCCACAATATGTCACACATTGCGGGCTGATTTGGCGCAAATATCATCGCTCCATCATATACAACCGGCCGATGGACAACTGGACAAACAGCTACTTCCACACTAATCATTGTGGGGAGATGATGGTCAAGTGGGACTTGCTGAAGAATTCGTCGTGTGGATTAGAGATATTGCACCTCAAGTATCCAACGTGTGATTACAGTTGGAAAGCGGGGACAGCAGGACAGGTCAATATAGCTGGAAAACATCATCACAATGGTTAATTATGTTTCAATTCAACTTGAGAGTAGAAATGTTGTTATTTTGCACTAAGACTCCTACTAACTCTGTATTGTGACAACCTTTACCTACAAAATGCCACTGGCTTCGGGTAGATCTGCACAAAAATCCGGAATCACCAAAAGTCTTGCAATACTTTCGAGATAGGATACTTGAGAGGGGTTGTTTGCGTATTGCTTCGTGCTCGCTTAGCGACTTAAAATCTCCGAAATAGTTTACTAGAAATTCGGCAATTTTGCTTGCCGATACTTGCTCCTCGCTAACACCTACCTGTTCCACCTTTTCCCCAGAACGTAGATTCCAGCAGTAGTACATATTCGTTCGCCAACAGTTCATTGTCATTTCTATAAAGCTTTGCTATGACCCAGCCGAATCAACCATTTTCGTTCAAAGCGTCCCTTGTCTCCGACTCGGATTATGAAGATAGTGACGGGTCTTCAGTAATTCCCAAAACAAACATTCGGCGTAGAAGCCGCCACTATCGACCGCGATCACGACTGCCTACTGTGGCCCTGATCGGATGTTGCGCCATCACGGGTTGGTTTCTGAGCATGGCCTCATTATATACTTTCATGCTCCTATCTCCCGAGCCAGACGTCTTTCATCCCGAGACGCTGAAAAGCGGGCTTAATCTTTGCGATTGCGGAGCGAATATAAAGAGGCACTTCAGCGCAATTGTGTTTATGATACGCTGTCCACATCATGGCTACCGCCATACTGTCGAGACGCTGAACTGACCGCAAAGTTCGACAAATCGGGCGACGGTCCAAATGGAGAGTGGGAGTATTTTGCCGATCAGAATGGTACTCAGCGTATTTCTGTTGAAGAAATCGCCGTGCTTGGAGATATAGGTGGACACTTTTGGGTATCACGATATTGGCACAGAGCTCACTGTATGTTCTATTGGCAAAAGCAATTTCGCCAGCGAGACACCAAAGTCGTGATGGAGCAAAGATTTGACGGATTAGCACACGTGGAGCATTGTACCCGTTTACTGCTACGTACGACTAATCTGTCGGCACTCATGCCTGTACCCGTCCTTATGAACTCAAGTGCTGCAGACGCGATCCGTCTCTCACCGGAGGAAAATCAGGATCATTCCCATCACATGAGATTTTAGTCGGACTGATGCATTTATAGTAGCTAACAATCGATAGAGTAACTCAATCTTCTCAAAAGCTTTACTTTCATTTTACCATTTCTAACCAAAAGATTGAATGTTATCTACCAAGCCGAAACTCTCAAAAGAAAGCTAGAACTGCGCTCACAAGCTGTACAAACTGACTAAGACTTGCACTAGTACCATTACATAGGGGGTTGTAATAATAATTTCTAATATTTAACGTGGTTCACAAGTGAGTCGCTAACCCAAGCGAGTCGCTAACGCCCTACTACTACATCTACATTAACACGTTATTATAGTTTTTTATTATAGTTAAAAAACTATTGTAATACACTAAATTAATTATTAGAATTACTACTATTACTTATACTATCTATCTTTACTACGTGAGTATAAGCATTATATCTAGTCTACTTGCAACGCCTGCACCGCTGCTCTCCTTACACTGTCTTTAACGCACTCTTACTATTACTATAACTACTACTTGCCTATTTAGTTAATACCTTTTATACTTTGCCTATAGTAAGAGTCTCTTCTATCTATATATCTTGCTACTTATAGCTTTTACGCTTATTTAACTTATTAAAAGCTACTTAAAGCGTACTTATTTCCTTTATTATTGTAAGAGGCTACGCCTACGTATGTACAGCTTAGCTTCTAAGCGAGTATATCTATACGACTACCTGGACTTCAAGAAGCTTGAAGTCTTGTTACTGCCTTTTTGGCTATGGATGGCGTAAGTAGTCGTACGCTCGGCCCGTTGGGCCCGCCCATTACAATTATAAGCGTTATTTTATATACTATTTACTAGGCCCTTTTACTTAGCTATATAATCTACTTAGTAAATAAATTAGTAAAAGACTTATAGCGTTTTCTTACGTTCTCTTAAATAAAACTAATTCAAAACTTAACTTTACGCTTGTTGTGTAGTATCTACGCCTATTAAGTAGCTACTTATTATAGTAATTATATAGGTGTTTATACTACTATATTAAGCTTAGATAGTATAGCTTATAGGTTATATAGAATTAGACTAGCGCCTGTAAAGCTAGCTTAGATATTCTCTTTTATAATAGACTACTTAAAAGTAGTCTTAAAGGCTAGTAAGAAGGTTTCTTTACTAATAGAGGGGGTGTAGTTATATGCTAAGCTTAAAATAGCATTGCTCTACTTACGCTTTAATAGTAAAAAGTAGGCAATATTAAAAGGCTATAATAAGTTAGATAAGTGCGTAAGTATATAAAGAAGTATAATATTTTTCAGTTTATAAAGATCTTAGAAATTAATAGGGTAGTAGCTCTTATAGCTATTAATAATAAGTAGTTAATACTTACTTATAGTAGAGCTTTTTATATAGGTATTGAAATGCTCTAACTAGGCAAAACTAAGCTAATTATTTATTTAGCTATTAAGACTAACTTTAAGAACCTAGTTAGTAGGTAAATCTTTAAACTAAATATTAATAAGCACCTTACTTATAAAGATAATAAAAAGTAGTATTTAGTAACTTAACACGCTTACGCCTTAGATTATAGTAACTTACTTATAGTTGCCTAGCTATATGTACTTTCTTTTCTTATATCTTTTTAATACTATAATAACTAACTATAATAAAATCTTACTTATTATAAAGCTAGTTTTATTAAAGTTATAGATATTATTATTTATAATACCTTACTTCTATCTTATTACTTAGACTAAGTTAAACTAGCGCTAGATAGCTACTAGATTCTTATAGGTAGCTTACTAGTAATTATAGAGATAGCTCTAGCGCGTATAGAGCTTAAGAGTTTACTTAATAAAGTTATTAACCTAGTTTTTACTAATAAGGTTGCTACTACGCTTTTTTAATAGTTTATTAGCTATTACTTAAATTTTAAGCTTTATAAGCGCAAATTCTTACGTAGACTGTTTAAGAATACGCTTAACTATAGCCTTCTCTTTTAGCTTATCTAGACGCTTTAATTTTAGCTTATAGTTACTTTAAAAGCGCTTTCTAGCGCCTTAATTGGATAGAGTTCTTTATAGAATATTATAGATAGTAGTAGTATAGTTTACACTCTGAATATATTATAACTAGACGTTAAAAAAAAAGTAAGTTAAAGATTAGATTTAGGATATATTAATAGATAGTTGCGTTGTTAAGATATTACGCGTTATAGTAATAAAGTTAATAGGCTAGTGGGGCGTTAGCGACTCGCTTGGGTTACGGTGACCGTGCGCCAGATGGTCATGGTCGCTAGTTGGACACCCCCACTACAACAACAACAAAACTTTAACGCGTTATAACTTAACTAATATAAACCTAATCTAAGAAGTAAGTAAAGAAATTAAATTACAAGAGCTAAGAGAATAATTCTTATACTAATAAATTGCTAAAAAGTACAACGTACTATAAACGACGCTAATAAGACGATATAAACACTAAAGCAACAACTTGTCAGACTGTGAGGTGTTTTCTAATTAAGGATAGACTTAAGTCACTGTGATAAATAGCTGCGATAATTGATGGGAGAAATTGATTGTATTGATTGTTCTGTGTCCTCGCCAGCGGCGCGCAGGAGCGCCGCCTTATGAGCGCTGTCGCTGCGACACCAGTGGTATCAGTTGTGTCTCATGTATCGGCCCTACCTAGGGTGGGCTTGGCGCTTGACTCTGATTGGCTAGGATCACAGAATCCTGGTGCTCGAGTCCGCACCCGGATTCTGCCGCTTATCTGACACAACTATAGCCTACGCAACTAATCCCTCTACCTAGAACGCAAAGCTAAGCTTATACGATACGTTAAAACGCTTACTAAATAACGTTTGCTACTTATAAGAATAATAATATAACAGTTTACTAGCTAGTTAGCTAGTAAACTAGTCTCTAAAAGCTAGGTTACCTAGTATCTCCGCTAGCATCCTAACTATCTTATCTCTTGCTTAGGCAAAGCTATAGCTAAGGAGCAGACTAAAGCTGATTTAGGGGCTAAGTATAGCTTGTACTTTAAGCTTTTACATAAAAAGATTTAGGAGTACAATATATAACCTATTAATATATTTAATATAACCAAAAAGGGGTTTTAACTTAGCTAGGTTAGTAGTATAAAACGTATATTTAGTAGGAGACTCTATAAGTAAAAAGGGGTAAGGTAAGCACTTAAAGATTGCTTAACTAAGTAGATAATAGTTATAGCTTATATTTATTTAGATAGTATAGCTTTAAGTCTAACACTTATCTTCTAGGAATCTAATAGGTTAGTTTAATTCAGCTAGGTTAAAGCTATATAAGCTAACAAGCACTTAGTCTTTGTAACCTTATCTCCGTCTAGCTAGACTAACAACAATATTAGGTTAGCTTAGCTTAAGGGGGTTTTTAAACAAGAGACTAGATGATATGCTTTAACTAAGTATTAATTATTAATCCTTAACAGCCACAGATCCTATGTAACTATAGAGTTTATTAAGTATTGCTATAATAACAAGATCCTTTTGTTTATATTTCTACCTCACGCTACCTATACGCTTTAACTACTTGATGTAGTAATATTTAAACCCTTAGTAATAGCTTACTTAACTTAGTTATCTAAATACCTATAAGACAGCTAAGGGTTGCTTAATTTAACTAAAGGAGACTTCTTCTCGCTCTTCTAGAGGTCCTAGACCTCTATATTTAGGCCTTAACTTATTAAAAGGTCTTTTAAAGCCACTAGTATATAGCTAGCTAACCTAGACGTTATACTTAAGAGGTTTGCTAAGGAGGCTTTAAATTCTAAAAGCAGCTAGTTAGTCCTCTCTAAAGACAATTAGCTTAAGCTTAAATTAATTATACGCTATAAGGTAAAGGATTAGAGCAGTAAGAACGTTAAGAAGCTTTAACAAAGCTTGTGCTACATCTTAGCTTAAAATAGTAGACTTTATAAGGAGATTAAGGGCCTTAGGTAGTCCCTAGCCATTAAGGAGAGGCGACTAAAGCAGTTATTCGCCCTCTAGCTTAATAAGGACGAGGTTTACTATAGGGGAGCTAAAATATAGTCGCCTAAGAGTGTATAACAATTCCGCAATTGTTAGAAAGCACAATAATAACAAGCTAAGCTTTAAAAGCTTTAAAAAGCTAAGTAAGCTAAGATTAAGAAGGCAAATCGCAATTACAAGCTTTAAATTAAAGCTGCGAAGCGTGTTAAGTAGGAGAAGGGTTAAGAGGAGAGCAGAAAGCGGAGGGCTATAGAGCAAGCTAAAAAGGAGCGCTATAGAAGCCTCCGCGACGCTAAAAAAAGCTATATAATTGCCCTAAAAGGGTAAGCGCAAAGCTTTAAAACCTTATAAGCTAGCTACAAAGCGTTAAAAGCGTGGTAGTGTTGCTCTAGCTATAGTAAGAGCCGCAAGGGGTGCACTAGCTGTTATACCACGTAGTCGACAAGACCAACTAATAACGCCCTCTAAAAAAATCTAAATAAGCTAAAACTTTTGTAGGCCTATATATAGTATAATCTTAGCTTTACGCAATTTTATCACAATTTGTATGGGCTGTACAGCCTCATCTTTTTAATTATATTATTGTTGTTAGGGTGTCCAACTAGCGACCATGACCATCTGGCGCACGGTCACTGTAGTGACTCACTTGTGAACCACGTTATACGCTAACACGTCAACCACAGCGTAGGAGTGCAGAGTCAAAACTCAAACTTTATCCCATTCCAGCCCTAGAAAAGCTCCAACATGCGCGCATCATAGTTGTTCTGAAGTTTTGCTATGTACTCCTGTAGCACCCCCATTGGTCGTAGCGAGTCCTTTTCTATTCCGTACTCGGTTTGGTCCATGGAATTCACTGCAGCAAGTATCATCACACCTCGCATGAGGTCACTTCTGGCTAGAAATGAGGAATTTTTTCCACCACTTGTGTAGTCTTGTGTCCGGATGGCAGCTTTACAGTCTTCTTTGAAGACTGCAGTCATGCGGTATAGTATATCATCAACTTGTTGTAGGACCGCGAGAAGCAGCATGATGCATCCGCTTTGATGAACATGTGGACACAATATCAGTCGCTCACATGTGCTAAAGCATGAGCGAATAATTTCGACAGTGTCGCAGTTAATGACTTTAGCAGTGTCGTTGAAATTAGTAAGTGGGGGCATGCTGTGGATGGTATGGAGAAGCGCTTTAATACAATTGCAGCCTCTAGATATGGGCCGGTTACCCGCATATTTGTGGCTGTTTCCAACCATCCAGTCGAGTTCTTGGTGTGGTTGAGAAATGTCATTCAGGACCGAGTCTTGGTTCGCTGGATAATCCAAATCGAGATACTGTTGTCTATCGCTCGGCTCGATAAACAGCGGCGTAATGCACAGTGGGGCTTCTGAACGCGGCGTGGCCACTTGGGTCGCGTCTGCATTCGGAAAAACTTTACAAGTTATTAGCTAGATACTTGTGGCGCCGAGGGGGAAATCGCCTACTGAAGCCAGGGTCCGCGTCGGGCGATGCAAACTGATGAGCACTATGCTTTGAAGCTTCCCTAGGCCGACCCGCGCTTCTTTGTACAGAATATGTGCACATGCGCCCATCTTCCGTGCACCTGTGACATTTTGGTGTCTCTTTCGAGCAACCCATCTTTCGGCGAGAGCATTGATCGCATGCATTACTCGACATACGGGTGTGTTTTGCAAGGCCCTTCTGAGTATCCTGTTCCATGTCTTAATGAACTGTAAGTAGTGGTTCAGAGGGACTAAGTATGATTGGTGTAGCAGGAAATTCTTACATGGGATGTGGATGAGTGCCTCCGTTTGTCTCTTATCATTGAACACAACACGTATGGCAAAGGACGGACCGAGCTTACATTGGACCGATCTTACATTGAACCGGTCCCACATGACTCTCCTTCGGGATCAGACTTTGTCAGAACGCTAATAGCGCGAACCTTATGGTATGAAGAGATTGTAATAGACGGGAAGGACAAATCAACCAGATTAAATGATAAAATTAATATATAACTACAAGGATATGTATCTACATGAACTGCTCAGAGAGTCTTAAAAACTGGAGTTCTTGATAGTGACTACTTTCCATCGTTGTTACTCTAGTATTTGCTCTTCAACATAGTCAATCTGACTAATGTGAAACAAAAGAACGGATTTCCGGTCGCATGCATGATTCCGATAATACCTCGTCCGGACTCCGGCCCTCCACCGCCAAGCCTTGAACGATGGTACGACGCTGACAGTAGCAGTACGTATCAACCAATCCATGACTAGAAATATGGGGAGATCTCAAACCTGATTCCGTTACACTAAATTCAGTGAATGAAAAGATATCCCAGATACGCAAATGGGTTGCGTAAATAACACATATTGTAGCCAAGCCGCACACAAATAGTGACTATGTCAGATTTTCATATACTGGTAGATTGAGGTAATGCGAAACCGTACATACTGCTTTGTGAAAGCCGCTGCATCAGCAGGTCAAAATCACATCTTAAAAACATATTGTCATTCGATGAACAGGCTATGTAAAATACATAATACTCAGCAGACATATCCTTAGACAGTGCCTGCGCACGCCAGTGCTATGTCCGTAAGCGTCCCTCCAAATGCTTATGAAAGTACAATAAACATTCAACTTCATCCACTAAGCTCTGGTATCATTTGCTACCCAAAGAGACTCTTGCTGGTGATGATGAAACGCTTGACAAAACAAGGATCAAAGTATAGACAATCTGCAATAGATGCATCTGCAGAATGGGGAAACATCACCTTTTAGGTAAGTCAGCCTAAATAACCATTATAGGTATCGGGTACAGTGTCAACTTTCGGTGGTATGTATAAAATGGCGGTGTATCTGCTACTTCAAGATACCTACGCGCTCGGCCCCATTGAATCAAACGCAAATTTAATGCGACAGAGCTTTTTGCGCAGAGTTTTTTTCATGAAACAACTTAATACAAGAATATGGAAGTAATGTAGAAATATTTCTCCGGTAGTGATTTGGCAATGAACTTGCTATGTGCTGGGACCCACCCCTCATTCTCTAAACGGCCATCTCGATACCATGGCACTGAAAAGAAATCTCCCAGAGTGATCTGAAGATACATGAAGCCATAATAAGGGAGAAAAGGGCCGCCACATTCTGCGACGGATCTTCCCATTTTTTCTTTCAGCTAGTTTTACCTCCCATGTTAACGATGCCTACTATTATGGTTTAACCCCCTGCGAATAAGGTGGGGAAAGACTACCCGATGACTGTTTTGTAGGAGAGAAAACGAGCGACGCGGCGAATTTAAACTTACATTTATGCAACAAAGACAAAAGCCAGTCACATGCGACAATGCATTTTGATATTGCCGGTGTTGGCCCAGCGGGTAATCTCTCGCGGTTACATCTCAGGCGGACCAATTCGCCAACCAAGTTAATCGCATGTGAATCACCGGACTGTTCAGATAATACAAACGTTTTCAAGATTCATATGAAGACATATGGTATTGGCAAATGTGGATAAAGTAAATTAATAAAAAAAAAGCCAAATCTATCAAAACCGAGGTTCAGATACATATAGATAAGGGTGATGTCAGAACCCGCGTCAGCCCACGAAACCTTAGGGAGTGCACTTCACGTGCTCTGACCTAAACACAGTAGATAAGTATCTCTGATCGCTATTACGGCTCAGCAGCAATCCGTCTCGTAAAATACTACTAATCATACTTTTGATAGCTTACAATTCTATCTATACTGTGCTACAACCTAACAGCCATTCTCACAGGTGAAGAGTTTATTCCTGAGCATAAGCTCTGCCTGCATAAATTTATGGTGATTTATGTTTAATGAGAGTGACGGAAAGCGATGCAGATATTGGATAGTGTTGGAATGCAGTCTGATCTGTGTGCAGAAGATGCTGCGGGTCAAGAGAGACAGACCGGGATACAATGAGCCTTGTTCATTCCCGTATAGCTATTAATAAGAAAATTCGTATATGGAGTGAGTCACAGGAAAACACATGGACAAAAAGTAGCTCTGTACATAATTTTGAATAATACACCAACTGGCAGAATATAGAATCCACAGACCCTTTTTGCACGATGGCTACTTCATCATTGCTACAAGCCATATTCTAAGGAGTTGCTATGGCCCTCGACGTTACTTTTTCGAGCTCCACAACCTAGCTGAACAGCAAAGCAACGGATTACACAACGTGAAGATGTTGCTCAATCAACCATTGGTTATGCTATCCTACTTTCGCTTTGAACATAGCAGTGCGCATTGTTCTAGGGAGTAGGTCACTATGAAGGAATGGAGTCACCAGCCAACACGCTAAAAAAACTATTTATGAAAACAAGCTTTCAAGTCAGACGCAATAACCACTCAGTAGCCCAAGCTGTTGTCAGACGCAATTTCCGACACGAAAGATTCGATAGACTTGACCTGACCTGTTCACATGCCTTAACGATGTTTTCCTGAACACGCGATTTACCTTGCAATGTTCACTCAACGACGTACACGTATACAATGTCACGACGCCTCCGTGTGCCGTTCACCCCACAGCCACTGCCCGTCTATATGATGATTCACCCGCAAAACTGTCTCACCGACACCGACAAACCGCCACATACACAATCCCCTCATTGGATAAAAGACCGTTGATCTTTTCCCCAGTATAACACCAACCAACCAACCAACCAACCAACAACCAAGGGAGCACCTCAACAGCAAGACAACCAGCTCGATCATCCTCTTTGCTCAACACTGTCCCCCTACCCGAGACGAAAATAACCCACAAACCTCACCATGCCCCTCTTCAGGTTCGATGGCATGCAACGCCCCTCGCACCGCTCCTCTCGGCGCTCCCCCTCGCCTCCTCCATCAGCTTACGTCGGCCCCTACTCCGGCAACCCCAACACGCGCTACGCCAACCCGTCTTATACCGGCTACGACGATCCTCGGACTCCCTCGCGCCGCCCCCAACGCCGAGCCACGCATGCTAGCAGCGGCCCCACACACTTCATGCCCAATGCAGCACACTACATGAACCCCTACGCCACCACCACCACTACTACTACTACTTCTCGCCCTTCTCGTCCTTCCCACTCCTACTCTTACTCTGATGCCGCTCCACCCCCATACTCCGCTTCGGCCTCCTCCTCTCGCCACCATCGAACAGCATCTATCCGCGACCCCTATGGAAACCGCTACAACCACCGCGATCTCAGCCCCGTGCGAGAAGATACGCGGCCTAGAGGCTTCGTCGATATCGATCGGCACCGCCGTGATGTGAGTCCGCTGGGTACCTCGCGGTTTGAGCAGCCGGCTGGGTGGCACTCGCGGTCTGAGGTGAGCCGGGCGCGGGAGGAGCATGGACTGGGGATTAGCATGCGGGGATCGCCGTTTGCTGGGGGCGAGTATGGCGGGCTTGGGGATAGGAGCAGGGAGGGGTCCAGGAGGAGTAGGCGAAGTGAGGGCGGAGGTGGAGATGGCGGATTTAGCAGGAGGAGCTCGCGGCGCGGTGAGTACGAAATGCAATCTGCCTTTCGCGATGGTGGGTTCAGCGACTGGATGAACTTCTAGGGAGTGAAATCTCAGGGGGTATTGGGTCTGTGCAAGTCTTGTGCGGATTTCGGGGTTTGCACCTGCATATGCGGGGGATACTGCGAGGATATCAGTGACTATTCATGTCGCATTTTCAGGTGGAGATGTATTTTGTTTTTCACGGCTAGAAGCCAGCATTTCAAACAGTGTTGGAGCTGTTTAGTGGAGACACAAAAGAAAAGACAGAAGCAAGACAGACAGACAGACAGACAGACAGATCAGCAGCCAATTAATCAGTCATCATCATTTCTATTCATCTAGAATTGTACAAAGATGCGTGTATGTGTGAAAACATCGACCACTTCCCAAACACCATCGCTCATGTTGAAAAAAAAGGTAACGTATGTGGCAAGCGAGCGCCGCAGGCAAGCGAGCGCCGCACCCCACCAAACCTGCGCACCTCTCCTATCTCAACGAACAATGGCTCAACGTAGCGCTACTCAATTAGCTTTGAATAAAGCAGATATTCAGCTTGCTATTTCTTCTATTAATCTCTATTAAACACAAAGTAATTGTCGCGCTGCTGCTGTCTATAACGTGTCTAAACGAACAATCCGCCACCGACGCGCTGGTATACCTGCTCGACGCGATTGCTAGCCTAACTCAAAGAAGCTCACTAAGCTAGAAGAGGAGGTGATAGTTGATCATATACTTGATCTAGATCTACGTGGATTTGCGCCCACGTATGCTGCTGTGCGCGATATGGCTGATAAGCTGCTGGCTGCGG